AGAAGTAATAATGCGGTACATCGCACCCGGGGAACCTAACGAAGAACAAGTTCTCCAAACACTTCTTGCCCACACCATCTCGAACCAGCTCACCATACTCCAGGTAGGCAGGCACATAGCACATAGCCAACGGTCTGTACTGCGACGCCTCATACACCTCCGCCGTCATCTTCGCCTTATTCCTCTGCCGTTGCGCGTGGCGTGCAGCGCGATCACTAGGATCGCCATTGCCTTTCCCTTTGACGCGCAGCAACTTTCTGTTTTCGAGATACCACTTGTTGTATGTATCGGCTAGCATTTTCGTTTCGTTCCTGGAGCCGAGGTGGAAGTACATGTGTCCATTACAGCCCTGGATGAGTGTGCGTTGAGCCCAATCCGTACCTCTTTCGATAACGGCTTTGCGGAGCGGGCCAAGAAGATGACCGTTACGCGCTGCGGATCGAACCAAGGGGTTGAGGATGGGTACGAAGTCGGGATCGACACCCGGTGGGTATTTCGCTCCTGGCAATATGAGCTTTTGCTTGCTATACATCGTTGTAATCTTCAGAGGTGCATAAGGAACAGGACAGGGCAAGGGCAGCGGACACCATCTTTTGTAATCCCAAGCTCCGGGTTTGACAGATGGCATAGTTTGGTTGGGCCATTCGAAGAGGCGAAGTCTGCATCCAGGCTCGTAGATCTGGTTTACTGATGCAGCACTTGACTCTGAAGAACTGCTGTCCCATGACTCCTCACTGAGCGCCTCACCGAATCTCTCGCGGTTGTACTCGTTCCCTGCGTCTTCGTCGTCTTCCGAGTCGGGATCACTCACAGTGTCGTCACTGACGCTTTCGTCGCGCTCTCTCCTCTCCTCTTTCTCTCTTCTTTTCTTTTGCTTAGCAACGAGCTGTGCCTTCTTCTCCGCAGCCTTTCTCTCCTCTTCCTTCTTTGCCTCCTCTATCTTTCTTTGACGTGCAATACGGGCGTCCTGTTCAGCACGCTTTCGATTCTCGTCGTCGTGCTTCAAGGCCCAAGCCATCTCTACCTTCTTCATATCCTTGCGGTAGATACTGCGCTCTTTGGCTGTTTCGACTAGCTCTTTGTAGTTCAAGTTGTCGTAGACGGAGTCAGTCTTGTTCTCAGCGCGTACTTTGTGTGTACCGCCACGTCTGTGTGATGAGCCTTGGTGAGTCTCATACGGCTCTGCAGAGCCGTGATACGGTCGCGGGTTGCGTCTCTTGGCTTTGCCTTTTGGCATCGTGGTGGCGGTCGGGTAGTGTTCAGTGAAATGTTTGTAGATGGGTAAATGCTAGTATTTCAAAAAACGAGTATTGGTTACTAGAAGCGCATACAGTGTGAGATCAATGCGGAAGTGATGCTCGAGACATTGCTACGAATACAACTGCAAGAGACCACGTGTGTTGGCCACACAAGTGTCTCTAGCGAGTCACGGGTCAAAGACATGCGAGAAGTCTGCTTTGTGAACATGACTTGGCTTTGTCTCTGTAAGCATCACCAAGCGTGGTGTCGAGTCGTTCAAAAAGTGTCACAATGCGCTGCACAGCTCGATTATACATTCGAAACAATTCATTCATAGGGTCTAGGGTATCTCACTACGGTACGTTAACTTACATGCTTTCAAGTTGATGGGAAGATGCTTACAGTTCCGACTTCTCGCCATCCTGCTTCCGCTTCTCTGCCTTGAAGTCGAAAAAGCCCTCTAGCTCCATCCACTCTGCAGTGAAGGCCATGACCAGCTTCGTCCAGTCCTCTACCGTATCCATATCCAAGTGCTCTCCGTCGTCTTCGATAGTGTGCCACACATGCGGGAAGGGCGTAGGTATCATATGCAGAATCTCGACGCCGCGAGCCATGAACGGAACATGGTCGTCCTGTACGAAGCCGCCCATGAACTGATCATTTCCCTTGTTCGCGTCGGGCAGAAACGGACGTTCGTCGCGAGGCTTCTTGTTCTCGCGCTTTGCCATCTTCGACTCGTGGTTTGGGGACGACTTCATTAAGCCTAGCTTGCGCAGGCGTGCCTCAGCAGTCGCCATGTGCTTATATGCCCAATGTGTCGTCTTGAAGTATGAGGGGACCTTTGGACCCTTGGAGCCCAGAAGGTCAAGTAGCAGGAATAGGTCGATCGAATCGAGCGGGGTGCGGTATATCGACGATGCGACATGGAACGTCGACTCCCAGTCTTCAGCGAGAGCTCTATAGATGTGTCAGCACTTGATGTCGAAGGAGGAGAAAGGTTCATACCGCGCGCCATAGAGACTGTCGCTGTCGGTCCAGCTCTTGAACGCCTCCTCGCCGTCCAGCAACAGTATCTGCACACCCTTGTGCTCTACGTCAAAGTCGTCGGGGTCGGCCGCCGCCCATTTTTTCGTCAGCGCCGCATCGATGCTGCGCGCTATATGCAAGATCATGGCGCATGGGGCCGCGCTGTCGGTCGCCCCAATGAAGCCAGTCGGCGTGTACTTGCTGTCGTAGTGGGCCACGAGAGCCAATCGTGAGACGTCCCCCTCGGAGCTACCCGGCGGATCGCGTGTCGCAATGATGTTCACAAAAGGCACTTCCTTGCCCTTGCTCACCGGTGTCGTCGACGTCGAGTTGTGCATTTCCAGCCTCCATTCCGGCAATTGCGACTTGAAGAAGTCTAGGAAATGTTGGCGTACAGCGACATTGCCTTCCGTTCCAGAGACTCTGGGGACCAGAATCGGCGCCAGCAAAGAGCCTTTCTTTATATCGAAGTCATCGCCCGGTCCCGGCAGGTGCTTGAGTGTGTGGTCGCTGAGGCCCTGGTAGGCGTATCCGAGGGACAAGAAGGAAACGAGCGACAGCAGCGCGAATGCGAACAACATGCTCGCGACTGGTCACATGAAGAACTTCGACAAAGTTAAAACACTGCACAAGATAGCTCACGACCGAGAAAGGAGCATGACGGCGCCGGTCGTTGAGTGGGCCGCTTGCAGCTGGTCGAGGGAACCGTGGCATCTCTCCGCACACGAGCTTGACCCGCTTCGGCTAGAGTTGCCGCGGCAAGCCGATCATCGCACGTGACACCGTGACATCTCAACAAGCACCATCGCAGCCCATCCACGCCCCTACACGTCCGTACAGCTTCATTGCTGAGTAAGCCTGCTGCTACGACCACCAGCGGCCAAACCTTGCCGTCGCGCAGTGACGGGATTCAGCGCATCGAGGCCTGACAAACCCCACACACGTGTGCAATTTTCTTCACGGCCGTTGACTGCAGACAGTATGCAGCCACGGCTTCTCGCCTTTGTGGCCGCTTTTCGAAGCACAGCGCCCACACTTAGAGGCACACGACCCGTCGCTCAAGCACGCCTCAATGGATACATCTGCCGGAGTTGCCAACGAAAATTTACCACAATACGCAGAGATCCCACATTACCATTACAACGGGGAAAGAAGCCCAAGTCGGCACCCGAACCAGTCGGAAAAGAGAATGAGAAGAGTAGGTAACAGCTGTACCGTAGTCGGACGACGAACAAGCAGCAACCATTGTTAACGAAGATGTCCAGTGTATGCGTCAAGACTGCTGATCTACGATGCGGGCGACGCCAGAACGACATGGATATCCTTCTGGAAAGCAATGGCCTTATTGCAGTTTGGCACAACTCTTGTCTTCGGTGTGCCTCCATTGTGGAACAACGAGAATCAACCTGATGAGAGAGTACGGAAGATGCAGGCCATAACCGGTAAGTGATGTTTGTTAATGCCTGGTGAACTGTCACGACCCGAATCTCTTTATCTACACCACTTATCTTGCCAAATCCACCGAACCAATGCCCCTCTCTCGTCGCATCGATTCGCTCTGTATCCGGCTTCATCATCCGTGGGCAAAAATCTTCCAAGTCTTGGATTTGTCCGACCCATCTGGCGCAGGTCCGAAACAGCACTCATCACGTGGTGGCGGCATTGCATTCCCTCACCCACACCCCCTTCTCAAAACCCAAACACCCAAAAGCCCCACACCACATCTAACAACCCCCAGTCGGCATCCTCGGCACCATCCCCACCCTAACCCTCGCCTACCTAACCGCCCCCTTCGTCCACCAAGTCTTCCTCCAAATCCCCACCACCGCCAACTACGCGCGCCGCTCCCGGCCCGAACTCCTCCGTTTCGCCAGGAGCCTCCGTCAGAACACCGTCGCCACCGCAAACACAAAACTCGAATTCGTGACTTTGCGAATCTTCCCCTTCCGCAAACACACCACTGCTTTCCTGCACGAACTCCGCGCTTTGCCGCCGAAAAAACTGCGTCTGGCGAACATCGAGCTGCCGAAGAGTGAAGCGTGGGTTAAGAGACAGAGGGAGAAGGGCATTTTCAAGCGTATGCTGGAAGTGATGAGTGAGCCACGGTTCAAATTCTACGTTAAAGAAGGGCGGTTGTACACGATGAAGACGGGTGTGCCGGGTGTGTGGGAAGAGGTGGCTATGAGGATCCAGGACCAGACTGTCGAGGAAGCGGAGAGGGAGAGAGTAGAGCGGGAGAATGGGAAGCGGGGTGTTGGGGCGAGGAAGGAAGTGCCAAAGAAACCGGTGGTCACGACTGTTGCGAGGCGTGGTGGGGGTGAGGCCAAGGTCGCGAGGCAAACTACGAGGAGAAAAGATTTCACTTCATGGTGAATATTAACCTTGAGGCTTGCGATCCAATATAGCAGGATAAAACGATTTGCGAAGCGAAAGAGTATATACAAGTCGTCTGTTCCCGATAGCCCCTCACCCAACTGGTTTGCTCATTTCAACAGGTCTACTGAAGCATGAGTTATGCCTGCTCCAGAACCTCTGGCTTCTCCTTCTCCATGCTGCCCTTGTGGAAGTCGGCGACGCCGTCGTCATGCACCAAACCAGAGCGCGCGAGGAGGTCGGTAAGTCCGACTTCGCGGTGAACCTCGGCCCAGCGCTCTTTCTCGCGCTCTGCGGTGCCGGCAGAGCCAAAGAGGGTGTCCATTTCTTCCTGAAATAGTCGTTAGCAAACAGCACGCATGCAGATAATCAAAGGAGGAAACTTACGAGAGAAACACCCTTGGTCTCAGGGAAGAAGAAAAAGATGAACGCAGCGCCCATAGCGGTGAAGATACCGAAGAAAATGTAGGTGCCATAACGAAGATGCGTAAGCATATCCGGGGTGACTTGACCGACAATGAAGTTGTTCATCCAGTTGGACGAAGCACCAAGCGCAATACCATATGGACGGTTAGACATGGGCCAGATCTCTGCGATGACAATCCAGGCACATGGACCCCATGAATAGCCGAAGAAGATGACAAAGAGCCACACGAAGACACAGGCAGCCCAGCCAGCACCCTGGTGGCTGGCCCAGCTGTCCTCGTAGCTGGCAGAGATACCAGCGATTATGAAGTGACAGGCTGCCATGCCGATGGCACCGCTGACGAGTACGGGCTTACGACCCAGTTTGTCGACGTACATGACTGCAGGGACTGTGAACTCGTTAGCGGGAGGAAGTCAAGTTGTATCTTACGGTGGGAACATACTTGTTGCGAGGAACATGACAATACCAACAACACCTGTGGCGAGGAGATTGATCGAGTTGCCTGATAACCCAAGGTCTTGGAAGATGCTTGGAGCATAGTACAGAATGGCATTGATACCCGTCTAAACGTTGGTTGATCAGTCACTACTCATCTTATATGTAGCTCGCACGTGGTCACTTACCCATTGTTGAAAAAACATGGTGAGCGTGGAGATCAAGACACGCTTGAACATGCCCCTAGTGGTGAAGAGACTGCCAATAGCGACGAATTGCAGTTTGAAGACCGACAACGCACTCATGTCCTGGAGATGGGGGAATCGCTCGGCCAGAGACTTCTTCTCGAAGAGACTTTGTGCGCGGATCTCGGCGTACTCAAGCTCGATGAGTTCGTGCTCCTGGGGCAGGCTTCGAAGATTGGCGAGAACACGGCGCGCCTCTGCTTCTCGGCCGTGATGGACGAGCCAACGGGGAGAGAAAGGCATGAAGATCATACCAGCACCGAGAAGCACAGCGGGAGCCAGTTGCAGAGCGAGAGGGAGAAGCCAAGCAGCTTCCTTCTGTCCGTCTCTCCCGGTGCCACCGATGTAGTTGGTGCCGTAGTCGATCCAGAAACTGATCATGATACCCAGGGTAATGCTCAATTGCTGAAGACCCACAAGCGCACCTCGTACCTCGGGAGGTGCGATCTCGGCGTTGTACATGGGGACAATCATGGACAAGGCTCCGACACCCATACCCGTAACGAAACGGCCACCGAGAATAGCATTGTGGCCTTGACCGGCGGAAGCAGTGCATTGAACGACGACACCGACCATGAAGACGGCGACGCTGACGAGAATGGCGTACTTGCGGGAGAGGATCTCAGCGATGAATCCAGAATACATTGTTCCGAACCAGGCACCGAGTTCGAGGATGGATACAAGCCAGCCCTGCTTGGAGGAGTTCCATTCAAGTGTTTCTTGATCCGCGATGTAGTCGCCCATGTCTGAGCATCTGTAAGTGACTTGCCTGTAATTGTAGTGGTGAGACGTTACTTACGTTCCTTGAAGGAGGGCATGGTCAGAACACCAGAGAAGACACCCTGGTTGTAACCATACAACAGTCCACCCAGGCAGGCAAAGCATGCGATACCAAACACTCTGGCGTTTTTGACCAGGGCCATGGGTCCCGATGCACCTGCGAGCGCTTGACGGCGAGCCAGAGCGGCCACCTCAAAGTCGCCGGCACCACCACCGACTGGAGCCATGATGACGATTCGAGTGCGTTCGTGAGTGAAAGATCGAAGTAAGGATCGTCAAAGAAGGGGACGAAGCACGAAAGTGCAGGGTTAGACAGTAAGCTTTTCGCGAAGCCCTTGACAATTGAATCCCAAGATCAGGGAAGACATGGGGAATGCAGTCCTACATATGCATTTCCATTTCGCTCGGGCGGCCACCCAAGTCAGCATACCATTGTCTCGGGTAACGGGCCTACACGCTGAGTGGTTGATGCTGCGAAGCTTTCCCATGGCGGATAAAGAGACGGTTAAGCTCCATGGCACCAACGCTTATTTCGGGCTGCGGCAGCGATTCAAGCATTGGTGGCTGTCCTGGCATTGGCGCTCCATTGCTTGTAATGTCCCGCGAGGAAGCAGGCTAGAAGCCACTGACGGCTGGGCGCACTATTGACAAGAGTCGCGGAGGGTGGAGGCGACGCGGGGAGAACGCGTTTGGGCGCACAGATGCTGAGCAATCACGGCTGAATCGACCGTTTTGTGAGATCGTTACGTGTTGGAGCTGGCACGAGACCGACCGCCTTTTCAACCTGATGCCTTTGTCTTGCGATGACCTGCTCAAGATGAATGCCATTCAGATCCGAACTTCTGGTAGATTAGCAAGCTTTGTCGTCCAGCTTGCATATCCAGAGGCATACCGAGCAGCCACCGCGCGTCGCATAAATTAACAGCGCGTATCTGCCGGTCCGCGGACGCCCATGCCGCCAGCCCCCGCCTCTTCGAGTTGGCAGCCCATGAGTGTGGAGACTCCACAGCGGGATGTTAGCGCGTCGTTTGCATTTTGCCTAAATGCTCTACCCTCGGCGTTCACATGGTGCGAAGGATCACGGCGCTGCGGCGCTGCGGTAAGATCGGAGCCTTTGTTGCCAGGTCAGTCACGGGACGCGATCGAAGAGTCGGTTCCGACCTTTATTTCCGTGACGATAGGATGAGCGAGATTTGGCCGTGAGGTAGAGCAGGCGTGTAGAGCTGATGACGCGGAGATGGCCACATGGATTGTGGGTTGAAGCGTTCGGGCCCGCTGGCTGAGGCTGCAGCCAATCACGATGAGGTCAGCAGCGACGTCATGCACTTGCCGACCTCCGATGCCATCGCCATCGTCGAGGGTGCACAGATTCCCGTTCACATGCTCCACCGCCACCTCATCGCTAAGTTACTTCCAGGATTTCGACGACATTCTGGAACTGAGACACGCAGCACCAAGGACAACAATGTTGTGCGATGCTGCAGATTGATTGCGGCGGTGCGCTAGCCCGAATGCACGTGTGTGGCTCAGCAGTCTGCCTTCCCGCGCCTTCCTGCTTTCTCATACTCATCGTCCTTTCCATCGCACTGGTTGGGGCTTTCTTTTACGTTCAAGATCCTTCGCCCCATCATTCGGCGACTACAGTCTAGGTCTTGTTGTGTGGCATATACAATCACGTGCTCTATCCCCATCTTTGGCATACTTCCCTTAGCTGGCCTTGGGGCTTCAGCTTTGTTGTTTACAGGTCAGTGGGGCAGCTTCAACGATCTTGAACAGGTGTCTTTCGAGGCTCTGCTTACCCGTTTTGTGAAGAGCTTAGGCGTCTCTGTATCGGGTTACATCGCCCCCAACGACGCCGCAGGTTTGAAGTCGTGCCACTCTTGAAGCGATACGACCAGATTCTAGCCAGCACTCACAGTTGGGGCGATCTCCTGTTTTCAAGGTCTTTCGCCCCATTTTCCGGCGACTGTAGGCAGGGTCTCATCTGGTGGCATGGTTACGTGCGGCACTTTGGCTTGTCAATTAATACGCTGATATCGCATCCGAAGGATTCTCATATACATGTGCAGAGTCACGGCGCTTGAGCAACTCACTGATAACACAGAGACACTGTCGAGTGGTGACAAAAACCACCGAATGGCCCCCTCGCCGCACGATCACATCAATTGAATCATCGGTTCGTCAAGAAGGAGGCGGCAGAGCTCTTGTAACACTCTCGGAAAGGAAGACAGTGCACATATTCGACCCATTCTGATACAATTGTTCAATCCACATTGGCGCATATTGCTGATTATCTCGCCTTCGAAGACGCGGCAAAAGCTTCTGTGTGAGACCTTCGACCAAAACCGCGACGGTGTCGGTCCTCCGTCTCCATATCTAGTTGCATCACCCCCAGAAACGCTGCAGTCCTGACTTAGCGCCCTCATTGAACCCTTACGATCGGCTCACCATTGTTAATCAACGGCGGCGGCGAGGGTTTTGGGTTGAGACCTGTACAGCTTCTGACGTGGAAACCCTCAGTGGCCCCGATCGAAGAGCTTTCATCTTGGTGAAGGGGTGCAGTTGACCGGTAAGCATGCGTCCAGTTCTCAGATATAAGAGCCATGTTTGGCAATGTATCTGTGTCTCTCGCATCCTCAGAAACATTATACTTTGCAATCCACACTACAATCACCAGCACCCATAGATCACACTCACGGCCTGAAGACGGAGATGAAGCTACTTCAAGCACTATCTCTCGTATTGATTCTACGCAGGGTTCACGCATCCTTGCCCTACGGCCTTCCTGATCTTGGTCAGTGGGGCCTGATGTATTACTGGATGACTGACGACTAATGAATGTGCAGACGAAGACCGTTTGGTACCAAGGGATCTTCAACCACCTGCTTCCAACCCTTCCAGCACCGGTATCGTTCCCTCTGGAGCACCTACATCTTCGCTAGGAACCGCCTTTTCGACTATTCTTGGCACATCGACGACGTCTTCCACCAGAGTTCACCCGTCTCCAGGCACAGCGCCGGTAGTTGTGAGCTCTCTCGTCATCCCATCGATAGCAACCTCTTCCAACTCTTCGAGCGCTTTTGGTCGCTCTAGCTTGAACAGTTCTAGCGTCGTATACGCCAGCACGATCAGCCTGACTGCAACGAGCCAGCTTCCCACTGTCGTACCAACCACTGGCGGGATAGCTCCCAATTCCTCTTCTACAACTCTATCAATTGGTCCTCAGCCATCATCGTTTCACTCGTCCGCTGCTCCATCATCCGCTTCTCAAAGTTCACAAAGTCTCCAAAGCTCGCAATCCTCGAATTCGCTCTTCACCTCTTCAACACTAGCGCGATCATCGTCGAACTTTGCACTACCGTCACTTACATCTGCCACGCCCACCCCGAGTCTTGTAACGACCACTATCACGGCTTCCAACGGTGCACCAAGCACAGTTGTCATCACTGCCAGTCAGCAACCTCAGACCAGCAAGGTTGGGACCATGTCTTCGAACCAGCCATCGCAAGCTTCTACTGCCCCTGCGTCTCTTCCATCTGGTACTAGTCTCGAAGCTGTCATTGGTGGCATTGGCTACAGTCTTCCCTCCTCGGATGAAGACTCAATCGAAGTAATGCTGCTTGATGGCTCCGTTGCACAGCTCTTTGCCGGCAGGATCATCATCGGAGATCAGACTGTGACCTTACCCTCGGACTTGAGCAGCGAGACCACGCTCCCTGGGGGTATCAGTGCCAAGCCTGCCGAAGCTACAACACCTGATGAGGACGACAATGACAATGACGGCGGTGGTGGGGTCGGTGGCCTTTTCGGTGCGCTTGGAGGCATTGCAAAAGGTGCGACATCCGCGCTCGGTGGAGCTATCGGTGGTGTGGATGCCGTCACGTCAGGTGCCCTGGCGTTTGCTGGAGGGACAGCTGGTGCTATCTCAGGTCCACTTAAAGGAGCCATTGGTGACACGGGCAAGTTTGTTTCCTCCTTGAACGGTATACAGAAGTCGTTCCCCGGAAACGAGCTCACGAAAGGTGCTTTCGACACCTTCACCCGTGCCCATCAACTCGCTCGTCAGTCTTTGAACTGGATGAAGTCGACGCAGAACTTAGCTCAGAACTTTGGCGACTTATCATCCGACGTCCAATCCAAAGTCATGTCAGGCGCGGGCGAGTTCGTAAAGGCTGGTGGTACTTTAGCTCAGTGCAAAACTGCCATGGAGGCCTTTCAGGACTTTCCTTGGGAAGACGCCGAAGTACCGAGTCAGACAGCGCAGCCTAGTGCGACAGACAAGCCTACCGAAACAGCCTCGACGCAGAGTACCAAGGGGACTTCCACCGCGCAGACCACCTCTCTGCAGTCGACTACAGACTTGACCTCCACGACACAGAGGACGAGCTCTACTGTTACTTCGAGCCAGATATCGTCATCTAGTAGTGAGACGCCGACACCCACCGCCAGTTCTGTACAGTGGTACCATATCGCTAGCAAGCACGATACGCCTTGGGAGAAGTTCAAAGCCCTGATCGACACACTTGACGGGGTCGAGAACTCATTAGTCAGATGGGACTACATCGGAAGTTATATGTTCGTTGCAAAAATGAATGCGACACAAGCAACAGAAGTCTATGAGTCTCATGACTTCATCAAGTGGATTGGTATCAACGATGGTGGACCCCCGGATGAGGAGTCAGAACAACAAGCGGAAGAATTCCGAGCCGTCCGTACAACTCAGTCCATCGGTGATTCAGAGCTAGCGCCACAGTACCGTCCAACATTGCACAACTCGTTCTCTCGTACTGTCGTACCACGGGCCTTAGGTAGTCCGGTTCCGAACGCTCCTTGGTGGAAGAAAGCGCTTTCGGCTCCACCTCCACGCCCCGGTCAAAATCCTCTTACGCCAGACAACTATCCGGACTATCTGGCCGACGACACTGGTGGAGCAGGAACCACCATATATGTACTTGATGCTGGCTTTGACCCCTTGTTACCTGTATGTACGAACAATATGTTCTCGACTGTGGCTAATAAACTCAGGACTTTCTCTTGAATGGTAGGACTATCACAACGCACACTACCCCAAACATCCATACTATACCGAAGCCTATCTTAGATGCAGGCCGTGCCTTTGAGGAAAAAATAGAAGGAAATAGCCATGGCACAGCGTAAGCTTTATGGAAACATTTGATGTTCAAACGCTGATTTCACTCAGTATGGCAGCCCTCGCTGGCGGTGTGAACACAGGAGTGTCACCAAGGGCTGACTTGCATCTCCTCAAGGTCAAGGGACAGTACAAACAGAGCCATTACAACGATGCTAATCCTGATCCGGCCACAATAATAACCACGAAGCATGTCCCATCCTCTGTTCTATATCGGAGCAATCACGTCATCAATGATGTCAAAAGAAGGAAAGGCGTCAGCAAGGCCGGTGGTTCCGATGTGAAGTCTGTCGTCAATATGTCATGGGGTGAGTGAACCTTCGCATTTATGATTCATTTCATGCATGAACCTTGCTGAAGTTGTACACAGGTATCAGCGTCAGCGTTTGGGAGCCCTATCCCGACAAATTGCAGGAACTGGAACAACTTTGCGAGGAATTCCTCCAGTTTTGCAGGAACGAAAAGATTCCTGTCGTGGTCGCCGCAGGCAATCGACCCACTACCAGCGACGTGAATCGGAACCTACCGCACAAACTTTCCACGCCCGAGGATACTATGATCATTGTTGGGGGCGTCGATGAAGCAGGTCGGGTCATTCCAGAGATGATAGATGACTCTGAGGGCCTTGTTCATGTGTACTCACCCGGCAAGAACATCGAGACTCCCGTCAACGGCGTGAGTGACGAGCTAGGTCTAGGCACCAGCCAAGCCGCCGCTATCGTGGTATATGTCCTACTTCTCTATCACGACGCAGACACTAACTTCGTACAGTCTGGTCTTATCGCGTATTACAATGGCTTGCCTAACCTGGACCAAGGGTTGGCAGGTGCCAATGGTGGCTTCTTGGGAGCAAAAGGGTGGGTCGTTTCCCACGCTTGGCCAAGATCCTCTCCAAACTCCGACATCAATGTTGTGTACAATCTTGCGAGGGGTGATCCGGTTCACAGCGATCTTTCGTGTGTACAGCGTCGCGATAGATACGGAAAACGACAAGATGAGGGTCTTTGCTCGCTATCATCTATCTCTGCAACATCTCTGAGGTGAGTTGGTCATGCGTTGGTCAAGGGAAATTCACTAACGACGTCAGCTCATCTGGCATGCGGTCAGCTTCTTCTACCAGCGCTAGCAAACCCATCACCACTGCCAGCTCTTTCACAAACGACCAACCTTTCGCAACCAGCGACTCATTCTCGACTAGCAACTCCTCTTCTACCAGGACAGGGCACAATTCCATTGCTAGCTCCACCCAGCTGTCCATTACATCGCTCGAATCTGACGGTTCGTCCGCTACACAATCTCTCCAATCTTCAGCAACGCCATCACCCACGCTAGCTCCGACCGCCACGGCCGTTGACAACTGTGTTATGTGTCGAGTTGAGCTTGGTAAATGTTTCGACAAGTGTGACCCGTTCGATAACGATTGTGTCGACATATGCAACTGTCTCACAAAACATTCGGACAAGCATTGTAAGCTTTGCAATGAAATTACGACTTGTCCTCCAAGGCCAACATCCACGGCGGCATCTACGCCTACGCCTACGCCTCTTACCCCTGAAGAGATCAAAGCAGCTTGTGATAGCTGCCAGGGCGCTGTGAATGTGTGTATCAACAGCTGCGGACCATCTCGCTTTTTTTGCACGAAGGAATGCAAGTGCACGGAGAAGAAGAATAATCCCAACTGTATCGATGGCGGGGGTTGCGACGTTGAATGTGACGACTAGTTGGGGTTGGGCTGGTGGATTATGAGCATGCTCGGTCACAGCCTATGGCCGCAGGCGGCCCGGCGTGTGTTGTGTTCTGCGACCATTCATGGCGTAGGGCTGGTATGCTCATCATTGATGGAAGCTTGAGTTCTTGCGTCGTCTCTTTCATTACGTTTGGTTCCGTTCCTTATCTGACACTCGCTACATCTTGTATTTCTGCTTCATGCGCTTCCGTTCGCTGCTCATCTCGTTTCGTACTCACAATACTGTCTTTACAACAATAAATTCGTTCCAGGGCTCTCTTGAAGCGCGTAAGGGTCATGTGTGTTGGTCGTCGCTCTCGCTTCACGTTGATGGATGCTTCACCATGAAACAGTTGGCCAGATACTGTGTCCACAACTGGTACTCTTTCAATTCCATCCTACAATACCCTCCGCTAAAGTCAAAGGTTGCTGTGTTGACCCTGTCATGACCGAGATCCTTCTCCCGATAATTCCTTTATCACCGACACCGAGGTGCAGTTTCTCTGGTAATTGCATGAAACCTCTTTGTGGTGACTCTATTTCGAAAGAGTACAAAGCATCCAATGCACCTTGTTGCCTTGACGAGCAGAGATCACCGTCACAACTAATAGCATCGTCAGCATTGCGCTAGCTCATTGGAAGGACGCAACCGTGACGGACTGAACTCACTGTATGACCAGCCGGTGGCTATCCTGTTGCAAAACGTCGTCGAGCCCTTGGCATTCAACGTTGGTGCCGCGTTTTGACAGTGGGTTGGTAAAGAATAGAACCATCTCTTGTTCTGGATGTGTGCGTGCTAGGTGGGATGTTGGTCGCAGTACTGCTATCGAGCCTCCTTGACTGACGCGCGTTGAGCTGCCGTTGCACATTGCTAGACTCTGGTGAAGGAGACCTAACGGATACAGAGAAATAAATTCGGCCTTTCAACAGTAGAAAAACGACGACGGAAGAGCGTGGTTGGGTGAATGGACAGTGTGTAAGTATACGAGGGTAGGAAGTCAAGCCTGAGGTCTATCGGCGCCGAGGGGTAGGAAATTGCGAGCGAATGATTGTCGATGGTAGCAGAGATGCAAAGGCTTTGTAGTCTACGCACTGTTTCAGTGACATGTGTTGCAATGTTTGAGATTTGAGAGTGAATGCGTGTCTTTGAGCAAGTTTCGGAAGAGTACCCGATTGGTCAAGCTCGGGCGCTAAGATCCACCATGGTGCTCTTCAGTGAAGGTATGTATGTATGTCAAGTTGCGATCGCAAAACCATCATATCATTCACATCGTTTCGTGCTGTCCCTACATGAGGTCTCCGCCCGCTTACATGGACGCCTTGAGCACGCTGAAAGCATCGGCGCGCGATCCTCGGTAACGCTCCTCCGCCGTCTTCCAGTTGATGACATTCCAGATGTTTTTCACGTATGCAGCTTTGCCGTTCTGGTACTGGAGGTAGTATGCGTGCTCCCACTGCATGTCAAATTAGTCGCCTGTGGCCTCAAGGGTCGAAGAGCCAGCAACTCACCATATCAACACCGAAGATCGGAACTTCACCCTTGCCAACGACAGGGTCTTGATCCTTGGTCGTCACAATAGACAGCCGCTGCTCTTTGCCCATGTCGGTCTTGATCAGCCAGCCCCAACCACTTCCCTGAATGCCGAGCAGAGCGGCGTTGAAGGCTTCCTTGAACTTGTCCTCGTCACCCCATGTCGCCTTGATCTGCTTGAGCAGCTCAGGAGCAGCGGAGCTCTTGGCCTCATCCGAGCTTGCAGGTGCGAGGTTCTGCCAGAAGAGGGAGTGGTTGATGTGTCCGCCTGCGTTGAACTTGATTCCCTGTTGTATGGAGACCTGCGAGGTGATGTCCGAGGTAGAGACAGCTTCGGCCTGGGTCTTGAGAAGACCGTTCAAGTTCGTAATGTAGGTTTGATGGTGCTTGCTGTGATGCAGCTCCATGATCTGGGCGGAGATGTGCGGTTCCAATGCCTATGAACTATGAGCATACTGTGCGTGGGGTAATAAAGTCATCTCAGGCTATACTAACATCGTAGGCATATGGTAGCGGAGGAAGCGTGTATTGGGGTGCAGACATGGCGCCAAATTCGAAGGGTTGTTGTTCTGAAGCAAAGACTGTGGATGTAGAGAGAAGAGGAAAGAGAATGGTTGGGAACGTCGATATGCCCCGCATCGTGCCTGCCCCTCACGCAATCGATTCGTATAGAAGCCGGGTACGTTCGTCAGACTGCCAGGCCGTCACCAACAGGGTGCTCTGGATGTATGCTGCCCAATTGGGTCTAGTGCACTAGAAACTGCCTCAATTGAGCGCGATGCCACTCAAATGCTCCACTATGTCCGTACTGGAATCGAAACACAGGTAGACGATGTATAGACTGACGTTGTATTTATTTTTTGCAGCAATACCTGCTGATCTGACAGAGAAGAACGTGCGATAGCCAGCTACAGGTAGCTGCTCACGTGTGAGTAGCTTCAATGGCGAGGCAGCAAACAGGAGACGATGCTAATGCTCGCATCAGTGACGGACTAAAGTTAGCACAGCTCTTGTTGCGCAACCTGACGGAGATACGATGTGACGAATGCGCGGTGTTGAGTGGGAGATGAGGAAGGGAACGGCAGTACGTGTTGTTCCGGTCGGACCCCGGGGATTCCAAAGTTGACGCCGTTGTGAAACACGATCTAAGCCCGGTTGAGCTTAGCTTGATGCCGTGATCATCACAAATCGATTGATACTGTGGACGAAGAACGCAACTCTAGTGCAATGGTTGTACCAACGAGGCTACACATGCCTCTCGTTGGCGAGCGATATCGCTACAGCGGCAGATGCCTCAGCACATGCCTTTGTAGTCCCTCCGTCTCAGCTTCAACTGCGCATTCGCTCGCAGACCATGCCTCCTGTCTCCTCTTTCAGCGTCGACATCCCTGTCCTCAGCTAACAGCATCTGCCTCTTTATAGCTGCTTCACTTTCCGTCGTGAGAGTACCACACCTGCACCCATACCTCATGCGCGACAATCTAGCTCTCTTTCTCTTCTTCCACATTTTCCTGCCTTCTACCCAGTCAAACTCGAAGCATTTCGCCTCCATATCCTCTGCGACTAACTCTATTACTTCGTGCGGGTCGGTAGGGGCAACCATGTGGGTGAAGCGCATGTGCCTGGTCTCGATCGTGCTACAACCCAGTGCCCTCATTTGGTCGACGAAACGAGGAGGCGGTGATTGAGCACGATCACACCGATCACGGGCCGGCGCCCTGTGCTTTCTGGTTTTACCGATGCCTTTCACTTCTTCTTCACGGGCAGGACTCTCCCAACAATCGAGCATGACATATGTGTCCTGCCCCAGCGTAACAAGTTCGCCGTGACTATCACTCTCGAGGAGCACAAAGCCGCCAAGTTTCCGTTGATTAATAAACGGGCTGTGTCTCCCAGTGCACATCGCCATGCTCGGACTGGACTCGATCTGATCGCGTTGCTTCTCGGTGAGCTTGCCCGGAAAATGCGTCAAAGTGACACTTGGCCAGCATCGAGCTAGCCGGGCGCCTCTAGAGTAGCAACCGGGGTTGTTATACTGTATGATCTTTGTTTTTACTATCGAGGATGACAGCAGCCCCGGCTTTTGATGGAGATGGCGATGTCTGTCCATCACGACATGCGCATCGTAGGCAGACTTGTGGGTCCAGGATATCCAGAGGTATAGTTCAGACGGCTGCTCTAGAACGCGACTCCAGTCACACTCTTGTACCCCGTCACACCTCTTCAGATCAATGAGAGCCAGAATCACGGTACTCCATAGTTGATTGGACTGTGAGCTTGCGTAATGTATGCTTTCTGGCGCGGTGATTGTGATCCATTTGCATACATTCCTGGTGATGTCGGGATCGCGTGTGTCGGACATTGTTGAACGTTAGCAATTAGGCTGGTGTCTGAGAAAGCTGTTGCAATGGGAAGTGTTGTCAGCTGCATGGATACATATGCGTGTGCTAAATATTTTCGCAACCGGTGGTACCAAGGTACACGCGCATGTTGGTACCCGCGATCATGAGCAGTTTGTGCGCTACCAGACTCGTCAGCCAATCAGGTGGTAGATATGTGACTCGCATCTGTAGTTCGCACATTTGGACCTCATCATTGGATGGAAGCCGGCCTAGGTCTTCAGCTCGGAAGTCGTCACCTATGTCACCTCTTATTCCAAAACAAGAATCCTGGGGTCATCTCATCGAGCGTTTGAGCGTTGGTCAGACTTTTTGTGAGACATTGACAACTGTAATACCATGACTTCCATGAAAGTACGTTCTACCCATGTCTTTTATCCAGTTAAAC